GGTAACACATAGAATATTATATTTAGAAAATTCAGCATCAAGAATGTGGGTTTTGTTCCTTAAAGAACAGATATTAATATGGCAGACAGATATATTATTAAGACGGATGTTAGTGTTTTTTGTGGACACGGTCCAGGGTTCGGATGGATATCACCGCATACCAATAAAATGTAGAGTAGTAGGAAATGGAAATGGAAATTGATAGAAGACGAATTCAATGAAACACCAGAGACACAAATACAAAGTAATTTGCCATTCACTTCTCCCACCATACCAGGATAAATCACTAGTTTAACAATTGTCAAAAAGTATACATGAGAGGTGGATGAGTACTGGTCGAGAAACTGATGTGAATGACAAAGGAATTCATAATGTAGAACAATTGGCATTTTGATGAATACAGATATTGTAAATAATACTGACATGTATAAGTGTTATTATTCTGAAAACAGGCATGGCCTTTGATCAATAAACACAATGTACAACAAATGTGACAAAACGCCATATATACACATAAAGACAATTGACATTGCTTTATCATTCAAAGATGTATGTTTGGCATAACACATCATAGATTAGTTCAAGTCAATAAGTTTATCAATATTAGAATCCATTCTCAATCTGATATAGAAAAGAAATTAACTTATGAGTGATTTGTATTGAGATCTAAGAGATTGCTGGCACAAGGATTAAGTCCAAGAGTCTTTTTTCCCCAGAGATTATAATAATAATGTGTGCAAAAAAATAATTAAAAAAATATTGAATGCAAATTTAAAAAAATAAAATAAAATTGGAAGAGTGTTCAAATGTATTATTTTCCATTTGTAACCAATACGCAAAAAAATCAGTTTTTTTCATCAGTAATTTCTTGATTGATGGTTAAATAAAACATATTCTTTCTGCTCGTGATATAGTTTGCATATCATTATCATAGGTATCAAAGCCAAGTTACAAACACCTCACAGGGTAGCGTCACTCTATGTGACCCTATACATATACTACTGTAGTTCAATGTAACATTGATAGCATGAAAGATATAAAACTCAAAAGTGTTAGAGAAACACGCCAATAGGCTTTCGATGATTTTTATATTTGTAAACAATACACATCCAATATCAACTAGTAGTTATGCAAACTTTTTAAATAGTTTACATAGCACAAACACTAGCATTGGATAATACAAACGTAACTAAATGTTTCAGAATGTTTCACAACAGACTATGGAATTATGAAAATAATCTAACTGAATGAATTTGATAACAGTGATACCTGTATGCATTTCACGATTGACACATATTTTTACCGTTAATGCCATAGTGTTAATATCTCCATTAAGAGTGGCAATGCTTGTTTTGATTTTTATTGCAATTACATATATTGTTAAGGTTGGAAAATTCATCAATTGCATGCTATGACTGAATTTAATTTATTTATTATGTGTAAATAATGCGTTTTACGTTCATGCTTATACACGTTTTATATTCATGCATTTATATATAAAGTTATGTTTTGAACGTAAATATTATCATGATATGTTTTAATCTGCATTTTGTAAAAATGCTATTTAATAGATTGAGTGAAATTGCCAACAATAACCATAGGGACAAACATTTCAGAAATGAATAAGTCTTCAGATTCACCACTTTAGTCCTCCTTCGTTGGCCCTCAAGGAGACTCCTCCTCTTCCCAAGCAGTTCGTACCGTAGTTGCGCTAATGCTGGGGGTACATGTAGGTTTGGAACTACAGCAAAGCCGGATCCAGGTATAATCTTAAAACCAAGGCTCAACACCTGATCACGGTCCTGTAGACTTACAAAACGCACTATAATGTTCCTCTTTTTATCGGGACCATTTGGCAGTCTATGAATTTCAGGGTTGTTAGGTCAAAGTCAAGGTCACCGTTTTTAGAAATTCCTTGTCAGCGCTCTAGCGGCTTCATTCCTTGAGGGATTTGGATTAAACTTCATACAATTAAAAAGGACCATAATATCTTGGTTTCCTTAAGGCCATGTCTGTGTTTACGATCGCGAATGGCCATGTACATACTGGTTACACTTAGTGAAAATATATATCTTTTTTCCTATAAGAATATAAAGCTTTACAACATGTTGATTATATATCTAACCTGTATTTAATATGCATAGATTAAACTATTTGGTGGGATTGGATTTCCAAACTCGTCAATAGATAACCTTGTGTGATACAATGGACTATTTGGCCTGTAGCTGTTGCGGGCGGTAATTTAATCCCATCAATTGTTTATACATGCAGCTCCATCAACAAATTATGTTTCTTTTCTCTTCATAATATGTATATATATATATATATATATATTATATGTCATTCGGTATCAAAATAAAAGGTTAGAATTTAAACCATTAGATTCAATTATAATTAGTAGTTGGTTCCCCTAATTTGATTATTAATTTGATAATACCAACTTGTTTATATGTGTTTGTATGTGTTCTAATGTCTGTCCTTTTACCACTCTTTGTTATTATGTTTGGAGAGGGCTTAAATAGGCAATGCATGCTGCCCAATCCATTTGTCCTTTGACAATAAAATTTATTGAAATTGAAACATTATGGTTCAGAAACATTAGGATACCTACAGACAAAAATAACGTTCAAGTTCAAAGGGCCGTAACGCTATTAAAAGGGCAATAATGAACTGAATTAAACTGGATAAGTAACACATTATTACACATTGGTGATGATATTCACGTCTCTTAATCACCCTTGGTGGTAATTGATTCGATACCACAAACGCAACAAAATGTAACAATCATTTTATTTTATATAATTCCTCTGTCATAATACTAACAATTTATTGTATTATTATTACATTAAAATCAGCTACAAGCTAATTGTATACTTTTCATTTTCCCAAATTAAGACCAAAGGGCACCATTTTTATCAAAAAATATTACAGTGTAATAGCTAGCGGGGGCCGGTAGGGGACATGTATTGCTTTAGCAATACTCAGTATGCTTGCTTAATTTAACAAAATTCTACAAAAGGAATATTATATCTGGCATGGGTTTAAGTTTATGATTTCAATGTAAGAGATGTTGACATTCCTATGTGTTGTAATTAATCATATAATATTACGAGACAGTTATTAAAGTTGGTAATGCACGACGGACCAATGTGAAATACAAAACGTGTGTGGTTTGTTTATTTCATCGCAGAAGCAGAGACAGAAAAATTGACCGGCTGGGGTTCGATTCCCTGATCCGATATGAAAAGGCATTGGGTCACCTGCCCGACCACGTGGGTTTTCTCCGGGTACTTCGGTTTCCTCCCAGATTAACATCCCCTGAGCGCTAACATCCGGACCAACAAGAGTGATTTATATAAGTGGAAATAACTTGTTTCATAATTGTTGTAAAATAACAACAAATACATAAATAAAGTTTATATTTATAACTGGCACAAGAAGACCGAAACTTGACTTAATTTAAAGCAAGAAAAGTATGTAAGATGTAGGACAACAGTGTCCCCTTGACACTTTCGTTTACTTATAAACATCAACAGTGACGTAGCAGTTGACCTTTGGACCCCGAAATACAATTATCCCTAAGGTGTGTCTTGCACTCGACTTTGTGTAAATGGCGGTGGAAATCTGTGAGGAAATGAAGTCGAAAGATTATGATAATAAATATCAACTCGACTGGACGTGACGAAAATGGGTAACAGTATATGCCTTTCCCACAAAGAATATAAGGATCATATATTGTAGAATCTTATCTATGTCTATGCGTTACATGTATCATGCCGTTGATACTCGCATTGAATTCATCATCAGTATTTCTTTTGATTGTTTTTAGTGTGTGTTACAAACCACTTCGGTCCCGACTGTACCAAACAGTGTCACTGTAAAACAGAGGGATGTAACCGGATAGACGGAACGTGTAACGTTACTGGTTGTCAGGCCGGATGGATGGAGAAAGCATGCGATCATAGTAACTATTCCTATAAATTGCAATATTTCTATATGTTATTGAAGTTTGTTTTTAAATTGTGTAATGTGATCAAAGAGTTCCTATTAAGTTATCTATTTCTATTTTCATTCAAGGTGTTTTTAAATATGTCATTTGTAAACGTCAAATTGTAATCAGCATTTTTCAGTCGTTATTATTATAATGATCTGTTTTTTTTAAATTGAACATGCATGAAAACCCGAATACGTTTGTTATGCGTAGCAACATCGAAACATGTTAATATCGTTATTTTTACGGACAATCTTAGAAATATGTTGAAAAATATTCTTATAAATACATTTTTATGTTTCTTAGGTTATCATGTAAATGCTTGTTTCAGGCCTGTTTAACAACAGAAAAATGATTATAAGTACTTAGACCAAATACCGATACAAAAGCACTATAGTATATGTCTTGAATATGGATTATATTTCGCATGTAGTGTTATATGTAGTTTAATTCTAACATTTTTTTACAAAATGGAATCTTTTATATAGCATCACTTATTTGCCAATGAATTCTTCTGTTCGTGATGTTGACATTGCTATGGGTTGTAATTAATCATATAATGTTATGAAAATACAAAGCAATGTAGGTTTTATGTATTTCATTTAAGAAGGAGAGATTTACAAAAGAAGAGGGAAACTTTACTTTATTAACCTAGACAAATATGTAATACATGAATGCTTAGCTATCGAGGAAGTGACATTGGGAACCCTACATATAAAATCCTTGATGTATTCTCGTACTTGACGTTTGTGTTAATTAAAATGAAAATTCTTTAAGAAATTAAGCTGGAAGTGTTATGATAATGAATATAGACACGACTAGACGGGTCAGACATGGGTCACACTATATGCCCTTTCTATAATATTTAAACTAGTCATAAAATGTAACAGTTACTTCTTCTACTACTGTTACATGTATGCATGACATGTAGTAAGTGTTGAGGGATCGAGTATTTTGAACCTTAAAATGACTTTTATTCATCATAGGTATTTGTTTTGAATGATTTTAGTGTGTGATACAAATCACTTCGGTCCCGGCTGTGCCAAACAGTGTCACTGTGAGACAGAGGGATGTAACAAGATTGACGGAACGTGTAACGTTACTGGTTGTCAGGACGGATGGATGGGGAAATCATGTGATCAAAGTAAGTTGTCCTGCTCGATTCGTCAATCTGCAAGTAAACCCGGCGATACCGGCTTAGCGGGTTTGTCACTCGATCGTCTTGCTGTGACCGGCGCAGACGGCAACAAACATTGCTGATGTATGATCAGATTATCGCAGTGTGAGTTAAAACTTGTGATCTGTGACGAATTACTTGTGAAATTAACTTAAATTGATGTCTTCGAAGACCATATCCGATTTTTTTTTTTCCATTTCGAATGGTATTCCGTTTTTAGGAATCTATAAGTTATACCTTTAACAGCTAGAGTGAACAGTTGTGCGTGTTGATTATAGAAATGTGCCCTGGCTCTATTACAACTTGGATATCGCAGGTAAAATCCATGCATAAAATAAATTGTATTCAGAATTACTATTTCAGCAAATGTAATTTAATTTGTTAACGCTAAGAAGAAAAAACCCATTATGACAACAGACGCTAATATGACATTTCGTCCAGACTGTAGCAACTATACCTGAAACTGTATCTTGTCTCTTAATGACCATTACAAAATCAGCATCTTCTGAGTTTGTAGAAAAATCATATTTTCACGGGTAATTTCCATCATCATCATTATATGAAGAGATAAATTCGATTTGTACAGGTTATAAGTTCTATTTTTGTTAATTTATATTTGAGTTTGTCTACGAATCACAATGTAAGGGGCTGTTACATGCCTTGTTGGACATCAGTTAAATCATGTAAGCAAAACAGCATGTAAGCAGATCAGTTCTCAATTAAAAACAAATAACGATACAAAACTACAATGCTATAGTAATGGATAAGGTGTGACGGTGGTTTAGATATCGTCAAGAACATATTAAAGATAAGTGTTCAAAGGCGCTAAACATTCTACGAGTCTTCTCACATACTGGTTGGGGTGCTTTTGACACTTTACAGATCACTTATCCGATCACAAGTCAATTTCGGTGCAATGGTTTATTGATCGGCGCGTAGTTCTTTTCTGCAGATGATGCATTCAATTCATAACCAAGTACTGCGTCTAGCTCTGCTCTTGGTGTTATTAGAACAACATCAGTAAAAAACCTTTACGTGGAAGCGAATGAACCATTACTTTATAAACAAAGGAAAAAAACTGGCTTCACAGTTTGTTGCCGAAATCGAATCAAAAAACAAATCCTGCATTTAGGTAGCAGAGTACAGTAGAAATGGCTTGATCCTGAAAATAAAGGTCATGTCTCGGATAAACAGGGATAGCGGATTCATCCTGCACAGCACACCTACATATATAAATATGCTTATCAACTACATCTTGAATACGTGTTTTTTTAGAAGAATGAATATTTTTTCAAAAAGTAATTTCCCCAGATTTGGGACTTGTGGAAACCATGGTTACCACATCAAAAAATGCCAAAATGTTTTTTTCTTAAAGCCTGTCTTAAATTAAATATCACCTACTCGGTAACAGAAATACTCACGTTTTAGCATAGGTCATCAAACTAGATTTTTCACAATATTTACACATGTGCTGAGTCATGTATATGCCAATTTTATAGCTGTTTTTATTTTAACTTTTTGATACATGTACTATTACAGGGGTTATTCATTGTAAAAACATATCACCCATGGCAACCGTACGCTACTGTACACTGCTGTCTTAACCCTGTCTTCAACCCAATATACCTAAGCAAATTCACTCAAAATTCAAAACTCATAGTAACATTTGGTATCCGAATTTCAAATCTCTTTCAGGAGCTCAACAAAAATTTAAATGATAAAGCTGAATAAAACAACCCGGATGTTCAACCATGGGCTATACGATTACCTGATGTTAATTTTGCATTGCATGATCTTGCAAAATTGAGTGCTCCGCCCGCAGAATACAAATCTTCCTTTCGGGAGTGCATTTCGAAATACCCTGCTAAAATACGGCTTTACACTGATGGTTCCAAAGATTGCAAAACATAGCAACAGCCTGGTGCTGTGCTTACCATTCCACTTCTATTCGATTACCAGAATTTCACTCTATTCTCTCCGCGGAAATCGTCTGTTCTTACTCTCTCGTTCCTTAAATGTCTGCAGTTAAGAGATCCCAAAACCACCTTTATGCAATACTGGTCAATCCGTATATTCCATGCGTTATCCGTTTGCGATAGCGCATCTTAGATATTATGATTGAACGGAACTGTGTTGCATACCCTCATAAATGCTAAAATTATGCATTTCAAACCTTATATTTAAGTTCTATCATATTCACTTGCATTATATGAAATTAAGAAAAAGTAGGGGTTTTCATGTAAAAAAGAAATGAACCGTCCTGAAAACAACATTAATTGAACAGACTTTTTTCGCGGAAAAGATGATGCGTTTTCAATGGTGACGACATACACATTTGAGCAATAAACAAACAGTTCCACTTTGCACAGTTTTAATAGTTTAATTAACCTACTAGCGCGTTTAAAAAACATTGATTATCTTTAAAATTGACAAAAAAATCTTAATTTGAAACAAGAATACATGTAAAATATTTTAGTAACAAAAAGTCAGTCCGTGTTTGCAATGGTAGCTGAGCGATAAACAACGGCTGTACAGCGGCTAAGCTAAGCTCATCAGGCCACGATGCGGTTGGAATGTCAACAAGCTAGGTGAATGGAAATTGAAAGTGCATCTGTGAATGTGGAGAAAAAGACGCTGTTGACTGAATTCTTGAATCGCCCGGCTTAGACAACGGGACTTGCTCATTGTTCGATCATTTGGCATGTGTTAGTGTTACTGTCGCCGAGGGGACTGGCCGACGAGCCGGTATGAATTGACAGGGGCCAGTTCGTTTATGCGGAACAACCTGTTTACAGAAAAAAGGCCCGTGGGCCTTAACGATCAACTGATTCTGATATATTTATACAGAGAGTTGATATTTGTTTTTAAAACATGAACAGAAATATTATTCTTCGAGACAAAAAACAATAAAACCACCTTATTCAATATCTTGCATACAGATTTAAGATTGAAAAGTATTTGAAACTAGCACCTCTGATTCTAAACAAGGAAAATGAAGAACTGTAAACACATTGACTCCTTTGCGCCCTGCCCAACAGCCCTTGGGGGTAGGTCTGGCTCAAAATATTTTCAAAGTATTAAACTGTCAACTCAAGGTTATAATTCCAATCAAGTTATCAACATGTGATATCTAAAGTATCATTTGCCAATATAAACCATAATAAATGTTGCCCCCCCCGCCCAGGGGTAAACGTGAGACCCTAGGGTCATAAAATTCACAATTGTGGTAAAGCACCTTAAGACCCTTCCATCTATGAAGAGTATTTGAATTACCATATCTGTGTCTTGAGAAGATTTTTGAAATTTCAGTCAATTTTACCCTTTTTGGCCCCACCCATCAGCCCCTGGGGGTCAGTCAGGGCTGATATGTGCATACCATCAAACTGATATCCAATACTGATAATGCTAACCCAAATTGAATTACTTCCAATGGAAATTAAACAAATATTGGTCAAATATATGATTTCCCTATATAAACTATAGTAAAGTTTACCCCCTCCAAAGGTGTAAACTTGAGACCCCAGGGTCATGAAATTCACAATTGTGGTAAAGCACCTTAAGATCCTTCCATCTAGTAGAGTATTTGATTTTACCATATCTGGGTCTTGAGAAGAAGATTTCTGAAATTTAGTCAATTTGACCCTTTTTGGCCGCGCCCCTCAGGCCCCGGGGGCTGGGGACCATATAATTCACAATTTTGGTTGACCTTTGGCCATGGAAGGTTTCTGCAAATTTTATTGAAATTGGATCAGGGGTTTTGGAGAAGTAGTCGCAAATGTAAATTGTTTACGGACGCACGACGCACGACGCCGAACAAAAGGCGACCGTAAAAGGTCACTTGAGACTTCGCCTCAGGTGACTTAAAAAAGCAGACTCACTTCGGTGGCCCGACATAAACATGATGTGCTTTGATTCAAAACCAGTCATACGTCGCGGCACGGAGACAGTATGCTGGGGATTTTATTTCAGCACCCATTGATTAGTTCTTAGTTGTTAAAACAGATTAAAAAAAATTATAATAGAAGATAGTTTTATGTTTTTAAATTTAAAACCGTTGATCAAAAAACATTTACATAGTGAGGTCGGATGTCATATAATGGTACATGTAGTACTGTTAATATTACTACTCAATTGCTTTTATTGAATCATAACAACACTTTGAGTTGGTTTTGTTATCTAGACGGACTGCAACACAAATGTAAATATTGATATATATATTCATATCAGCTTGTCACCAGCATTGTTCAAACATGATAATTGTAGTCATAGCACTATCAAAGAAACATATGTGATCGCAGTGATCTCTAAACTTTTATTATCGGGATCACCAGCTTGTATCAGTAATGCAGTGTTCTTAAAATCAAATATGAACAAACCTATTGTGTACAGAGGAAACTTAATTATTAAGCATTGAACTGTCATTCGAAATAATATTCATCAGTTTGGTATGATTAAATTTTAATAAAAAATATTATGCATCATATACTGTATCAACTGTTGAATACGTGACGACAAGACTGCTATACCGTGAAGTAATTAAAAGGAATTGTGTACATGCATGTTCACCATCTATGTAGTTTGATGGTTGGCATATTGGTGTAGTCAGAAATGTGTCATCAGAATCGGGAAGCAAAGTAAGGCAACTTGCGTCGTTCTTTTTTTGCTTTAAAATGAGTGCATAATTCAAATTTGAATGAAACATTGTCCTTTCATGGCTGCATTATAATTGAAAATTGCTCTCATTACAGAATGTTCATCTGGACACTTTGGTTCTAATTGTTCTGAGATGTGTCACTGTCAGCAAGAAGAATGCAACCACGTAACTGGAAGTTGTCACCACGTTGGATGTCAGGCTGGCTGGTCAGGACAGGCTTGCGATCATCGTAGGTTCATTTAATATAACATCAAATATAATCCAATGAAGCAGCTTCCATAAGTATAATAAGACTAGGTTTGAGATGAAAATTCATTAAATTTGATAATCAGTGATCATAACTGAACAGCGTTAGCGAGGACAGATAGTATATATAGTCAAAGTGAAACATTATGCTTAAGGGTGAAATGTATATATAAATCAATTGACATCCAATCTAAATTGGATTGTTACTTCTTGTTGATGTCTTCTTGTTGTTATCTGATACAATAAAACCGACGACCAACTATTTGCTAGCGGAAGAAGTAAGTGTGCATAGCTAAAACGTTATAAGGTAGCTTATTCAATTACTCTGGCGCAGCGACTTAGTGGCGACCTGATATATAACAAATAAACAACTGCAGAACAAATCTCAATAAAAAATAACAAGAATTATTTGCATATGATCTCTGATTCAAACAAAGATGCATAAGATAAGGGGAGAGAAGTGCTGGGCTACTTGCCACTGCTCTAACTACACCACAGCGCGTTTATCCCTTCAAAAGGCACATACTCATATCTTAGTAACAATTTGAATTAGTATTACATCGGTTATTCAAGACAAAGATGAGATTCTGTTTTCAAAAATGTTGACGGACGGGATGTCGATGTTCATATGATGGAAGCCCAATGTTAGCATAGAACGAAGGAATCAATCAGTCAATTCATTGCAGATAGCCTTACTATGTGGTCATGCATGTATATGATATATCAGTATGTCGATATGAAATTGATATTAAATATCGCTGATTTTACTACGAAATAACTTCTTTATCTAACAATATCAAGATAAATATAATAAGATAGAAAAATTATTAAATCGTTGCCTCTATCCATAACATGACTTCCTCCATTAAATCTTTATAATTGTTACAATGGTTTCTTATCTCGTATATGTCTATAGACACGAAAAAACAAATATGCGAAAGGGCTAAACATTAAAAAAGCGTCAATAATAATTTTTCAATTTGTTAAATAGTACAATCAGAAACGTCTTCAGAAAGCTCGCCTGGAAGTAGTGCCCTGATAGGAGGAGGAGTGGCCGCCGTTGTAGCTGTTTTGATCGTAATTTTGATCGTGGTTGTTGTTGCACGGTCAGTGAATATATTGTTGTCATCATAATTGAACCTCGTGATACTATCAAAAATGTAATGTGTACATTATAGTTATCATTTTTTAGACTCAATCAACGCTTACATGTAGTACAAATGAGTTTTACGATTAACAGAATGTTCATTTTTTTCTATGAGTTTACATAAATTGTTCTGTAACGTTATGACGTTGATTCAAATTGATATTCATTTTCAATTCAGAAAACGCCGAACACCCAGAAAGGAAAGATCTTTGGGTGACAATAACATCTCATCGGATATTCACCAAGACAAAAAGGGTAACTAAGACACCTTTTCATTGCGTCTTTCGTTTTTTTATATTATTTTATTATATAAACTCGAGATAAAAATAGTGATACAATGCCAGCTAAGCTTATTACTACCAGACACATTCTGGTACATCTTGATATCATATCTTTTATACGAAATTATGTTAAATCGAATAAACTTGAATATATATACATAATTGTACAATAGAACGACAAATGATCTTCTGGTAATTTCTCTTTCTTTACAGCAGGTGAAAATGTCTATGCAAACATTGCTACAAAGGACACAAGGAAAACAAAATCATTCGAAGTAAAAACACAAAAGGTGATCGAAACTGATATTGACGAGGACGAGGTTGTTTATGTCAATGGCCCAAATGACGCCGACGTTCGAGGAGAGACGAAGCTCGTGGTGTCTGACTTGAAGGAAACTGTATCAACCAAACACCAAAATGACATGTTCGGGGTGGAATATAAGGTAAATAAATAAAGGAAAAAACCATTAACATTATATGATATTTACTTGTACCTTCGGAGTCATTATCACATTGCATGTTAATTAAATATGATTTATGATGTTAGATATCTGTCATTTAACTGCACATTAAATCAGTTTTGATCTTTATAAATCTTATAACTTTATGTTGTTCTCTCAGAGATGTAGTACATGTCATACATCAATCAAATAGAAATAAATCCAGGTTTAAGATTATTTAATATATTATAAAGGTATGAACCTTTTGTATGCCTTTGATATTTTAAACTGAATAATAAATGATACAGAATATAAGAAGTTAGTTGATACATTTGACATCTACTGTATATTTTACTAAAATAAAATTTACTGTTGCCTATTCATACAAGTTGTATTTGACATACAACATTTCTTTAATGTGAACATATTTTAGAGCTTACCGCACGGCTTGAAACATCCACACACTAATGCAAAGCTGGAACAAAACTTACTACGTAATAGATTCAAAACTACATGTCCATGTAAGTTGGATAGGGGCAGATGTTTAATGTATTTAATCGATTCCATCATTTAATTATACTAAACGAATACATGTTGAAGCTGACAAAAATAAGATTACAATATGCTGTTACTTTTCTTGTAAATGGAGGTACAATACACTGGGAATCGTTAAGTGTTTCCATACTTTTTAATATGTAGAATGATATTTGTTGAAAATCTTAAAAAAAAAAACCCACACAAAAACCAATTTTATTCTTTTGTCTACATATAATATTGTGTCACAATAATATGTTGTGATTTCACATGATTTGATTGCATGTGCAGACAAGCTTGTGGTATTAACCATGTTGGATACGATTTTGTAATGTGAACAATATATTTTAGATGATCACTCCAGAGTTGTTCTAAAGAAGGAGAAGAAAGGAAGTACAGACTACATCAATGCCAATTATATCGATGTATGTATGATTCTATAAATATGTATATTTATTCAACTTCATTATCATACATCAATTTCGATGATTTTAAATAATCTGAATGAAGATTAACCATCATGCTGTTGTTTGATTTTACAGGGTGTCCGTAATCAGAAGATATACATTGCTACACAAGGTGCGTAGTGCATTTTATCATGAGATTGTTTTTATTTGTGTCGATGACATTTTAATCAGATGAAAATATACATATTACATTGAAATATTTTAGAATATTTTAATAAGTTCCAGTTTGTTATCATATTACATGTAGTATATCGATTACATTGAAATAATCATGTCTGCAAAAGCGATAGTGACCCATCATTTCTTATTTAAAAAGTCGGATAATCTTGAAGAACTCAACTTTTATTGCTTTAGTAATATAAGGTTAGAAAATGTTGTTTAAGGAATTTCAGCAGTAAAGTTTTCAAATATAAATAAATAGATAGATATCTAAAAAATAAAGATATTTTTTTCCAAAAATGTTTGGCAATTTGTTTCTCCATTTCCAAATAAATCTTATCTGGTATTCTCTCGTATATAAGGTCCAAAGACGATGACACTAGAGGAGTTCTGGAGGATGGTATGGCAAAACAACTGTGGAAAAATCGTGATGCTGGCGAACCTGGTAGAACTTGGCAAGGTGACGTATTGAATACCATTTAAACCTCCGTACAAGATTGATACGAAAACTGTACACTGCAACGGTTATTCTACACCGTCTATGTTCAATTGGCGTTAATATTAAACCATGAAAGAATGGATGTTAGATACGCTGAATAGCTTATGATATCAAACGTTTCAATTTTGATGATCGTTTAGCATTTGGTTTTAAGTGCTAAAATGAATTAGAAATACTTAATTCCATTACAGATAAAATCAGCCTTTTGTATTGGTACACATATAAAAAGAAGTAAAGGAACTGTGACGATATATTATGAGATTACATCGAAACTCGACACAAAGAGACAAAACAGCAGAAAAAGAAGCATCTAAAATAGAACAACACAACCACAACCCCCGACCCACCAACCCCCTCCCCAATCCCCGGCAAAAGATGATAATGTCGAGTGCCAAAAAAGGTGCTCCACAAGGTTTTCTAATTCCAACACTCGTAAAATCTGTGAAAGTGTGCAAAGGGTTACGATAACCTCTGGCGCTATTAGTTTCAACAGGATATGGTGCTTTATAAATGGCTATTATATTTTATCATAGCATGTTCTTTCTCTTTACAGTCAACTATAGTTTTTCTTTTCTCTCAAACAAATACAAATTAATAGGTAAAGTGTACAACCTACTGGACAGGAAGTGATGGGAATCCCTTGGAGCTAAGCCTCTTCCAAGTGACACTACAGGAGGAGGTAGCGTACGCCTTCTACACCATCCGGAAACTCGCAGTGAAAAACAAACAGGTAAGCATAGGTATCAACCCTTTTCCTATACTTGAAGCTCGAAAAGAACCTCTAATAACTTAGACTTGTTGGACTTAACGTCAGAACCTTACTTAGTTGACAAAATAAGGAAGAAAAAAGAGTATATATGCAAAACAAAGAACATACATATTGCATGTAAATAATAAATTTAACATTTTAGTTCGAAATGTAAATAAATCGTGATAATCAATAGGTATTGCCTTTGATATGCAAGTTATAATACAGATACGTTTTATAGACAAAAAGTACAAGAGAAATATCGCAGTACCACTTCACAAGATGGCCAGATCACGGAGTACCGGAACCTTTCGAGCTCCTCCAATTTTACAAGCGTGTAAGGAGTGGCCGTACCAACCATAAAGGACCTTTCATTGTACACTGCAGGTACATTATAGTTCTTTTGTTGGGAATTTTCAATTTTGCTTGTAATTCTACTTGTTCATTTTCTTAAGGTGTCTCGGAGACATTAAGATGGTAATGGTATATTGTTGTGTTTTTTCAAATGATTTAAGATAGGCGATACATCAAGTCTTCATCAAGATTGTAATGTATGAATATCACATACATGTATATAACAAAAGGCAAATGAACACCATTAGGTGGATATTTTGTATCAAAACAGACATATAGGTTTGCGTTTTGTTGTTCTGTTGGAGTTGAAAGCTATCGCTAGTAGATTTTGTTGAGAAATGAAATATACATCTTACTTGATAATGTGTTTCAGTGCTGGTATTGGACGAACAGGTAGTTTCATTGGACTAGACGCATTGTTGCTGGAAGGAAACACCAGCGGAGAAATTGATGTGTTTGCCTACACGGAAAAGATGCGGAAAGACAGAATGAATATGATTCAAACAGCGGTATGGCCTCTGGATACAATTTCTATTACCTTTCGACAATGTCTCTTTTACTATTAACAATTACCAATTACATCAATGTGGATCTGTGTGTTAATAAAAAAATCTGATGATATCTTATAAGTTGGATAAACGTTTGCTTTTCTCCCCTCCACCTGTTTTTTATTTTCGTTTGAGTAATATGCAACGACAGACCTGAACATAGATTCTATATTATTCATTTATATTCCATGACAGCACAGACGAGTTCCATGGTCAGCAAATGTGCATCTTTAAGATGCAAATATGATTGCCGTCAGATTAATAAAGAAAATGTTTGTAGCAATTAGTAGGGAAACAGTATAAATGAAATAAATCAATCAGTGCAAAAGAAGAATATTGGATATTTCAATAATTATTGTTTACAAAATACATATATCAGACAAAGGTAGATACTACATTGTATTTCATACCTGATATCTTATATGTAAACTGGTTATTACAGGAACAGTATGCGATGCTTCATGATGTTTTGTTGGAAGGCTTAACAATCGTGACGTCAAGCATGTCAAAGACATACTTCAGTAGGGTCACCAACGACATGGACGATGATGATATACCCAAACAACAGTATTTAGTAAGTAACCAAATCAAAATTTTTATCGGGAGATTATCATAATAGACTTTTTTTTAAATATTGGTCAAAAGTCTGCTGCTGTCATTTCCGTTTTTATATGTCCAAATTATATAGCCATATTAAATTTAATGTAATGCATCCACACAATGTGCACCAATAAGGCACCCATCTTCATACGATGCAAAGGAAAGAATACAAAATGCTAGTTTTAAATAATGTTTCGAAATGTGACTTTTGAGCACAATTATATGTTTATCCTCGTCATTATGTACTGTTTCATATATAGGTTATCTACAGTTCAACCTTTGGCAAAATGTATGATCGTTTTATGATCTCGTTGTCCTAAATTCAATGAAATATTGCATATGACACAAATCGAACTTCTGGATAAATTTTATTCATATAGTTGCTGAACTCAGCAAGACCCGAATATAGTACCATTGAGTACAAGACAGCACTTCAGAACAAGCAAAAGAACCGCGATCAGTCTATCTTGGCAGGTATGTTCATCTTTAGTATTGTATCTACTTTATTGACGGAGAGATTTAAAGAATACAATATGTTGAGATAGAAAGTACGTGATTCCTAAAATATAAATGATAAACATTCATAACAATTACCACAAAATCAATCTTGTATAATTTAAATAATTAAAAAGTTGATTTGAAAAATTCAAACAATTATGAAAGAATATTATGTTAGATTATTTTCCTTGATTGTTTGTTTTTCAGTTGAAAAGTACAAGATCCGCTTAATGACAACCGCATCAGGGTATATCAACGCCGTTAATATACCGGTATGATAAGCGTCGATAGTTGCCCCCCCCCCCTCCCCCTTGAACGAATTTTGGTCTCTTTTGTGTCTAACTTTGCAGAGTAAATGTAAATGCTAACTAATTTTCAGATGGGCATGCCGCGTATCGAAAAACAAGTCAGCATTAAGTCTGCAATCGAAGACCAAGAGGTGACTAAAATCTGTTTAAAAAGCAAATGAGGAAATGTGGAAAATAGAACACAAGAAGCAATGACACGACTCCTTAAACCTGGATACTTGTTCCTAATAAGCTGTGTTTAAAGCAGTGAGCGATGAAGGCATTATAGAACAAATTATGGATTGCTTCTTATATTTCACATCTTTCCAATTCAAACCAAATTATCTCATATATGATTATCGAAACTTTTGAGTTGTCTCCCGTTGAAATGGTTATAATTTCTACGTCCAACGTCCTACGTCGAAACCTGCAGCTAAATGCGTAATAAAAGTTTCTTCGTGTTAATTTATGAAAGAATCCTATATGTAATTAAGAATGTCAAATAAACACAACACTATTTCGGAGTTGTTACCACTGATATATAAACACTGTCGTAGATATTGGTTAAAATGATTATTTGTATATGGCTAGAATGTGGAAGCAACGCGATTTTATCTTTGTTAAGAACAACATGTTTATTATAAAAGAAAACATTTCAGATTTTTTTTGTCTGTTTATTATTTGACCATCTATTCTTTTGACATTGAACATTTCTTCACGTCAATATTAGGAAGCTGGAGTTAATATCATCTTGCTCTGATGAAAAAAAAAAAAACCATATTTGATAAGATAGAAAAAAATCAACAATACAGAAGTTGACTGTTGAATAATTGATCTGTTAATGCAGGGTTACAGAATCCCTTACGGCTACATACTTACCCAGCATCCTCTTGACAACACCGTCATTGACTTCTTGTCCTTGATAGCGCAGGAACGATCGGACACAGTGGTGTCCATTGGTCTTCTACAGGTACGGAGTAACATTGCTGGAAAGAAATTGATAGAAATATCTAAATCTGTTTTCTTTGATTTCTGTTACTATAAAGGTTTAATTTGGAACTATGTACATTTTGTTATTGAAACATCGCATGAATATTTCGTAGATCAGTGCCTCTGTATATGGAAACAATATTCTTTTCAAAAAAGGAATATGATAATAAACATTCAATATATGCATCGTGTTAATAAACAAGTCATATTGGAACACATTCCATCTGAACAGCAACAAAAAGACATTCTATATGTGTTTTATTTGATATCAAAATTATTTTATTTCGTTTACTATAAAGGTGTAGTTTGGAATTCTGTAAATTATTTTATTAATACATCGCATGACTATTGTGCAGATCGTTGCTACTGTATTTGGGGAAAATATGCTATTCATATAAAGAAAATGATAATGAACATTCTGCATGAATTCATGAGCAAATGATATTGGAACACAATTATATATCAATCTGTACAGCATCAAAGGATTTTACATGAAATGTGTTTTCTCCCAGAATGATCCATGTTGGCCTACACAACAGGGCGCTCGGGCAAAGTTCGGCGACTTCGTCGTTACAAGTGTTCACTGTGATCATCATTCTGTTGGACCCGAACGTGTAGAAGAACGACACCTGGCAATAGTAAACAAAGTAAGCATTGTCGTTGTACATTGTAGGTACTGGAAACAGATGTAAGCTCATATCCTATATAACATGAATAGGTGAACCTGAACTAATGTAGCTTGTTATAAGAACGCTTTAATTAAATATGTATGTAAATTATCATAGTTTTTTTTTTTTTTTTTTAATTGCATAACTGTTTATGCAACTGTTTATGCATTTATGTGATTCATGTTTAAGTTATCTCAGGTGAAGTTTTCCTGCATAAACCTGATAAATGTTTCGTCGCACTTAATATCTTATTTAGATATAATCATATGGTTACTTTTCTTCAAAACAGGAAACCGGAACCGACACAAAGATTTCCCTCTTAGAAACACCTTCGTGGGGCAGTTCATTGCCAAGTTCTAGCTTTATGTTGGAATTAATACAAATCATTCAGTCTAGGCGGAAGATAGATGCTTCTCCGGTTATCATCACATGCAGGTGATACTTTGTAAATTATATTTCTTTAATTATGTTCAAACAACATTTTGAGGAGAACATTGGTGTAATTAGTTTCGTAAATATTTTTGTGGGTTGGTCATGGTGTCTTTCATTTGTTTTGTCCTTGTGTATAGGAGATGTTGTACATTTGTCTCTATTTGCCTTTTACAAACGAATGCATTCAAGATTAATCCTATATTTTGTAACTGTATAATATAAAATTATATGTGTCAGAGCTATCTCTTTTATACTTTACTCTGTGTATTTTAATGACATTTCTCCCAGAGCATTATCATTGTAGAACTTGAACTTATTTCTGCTTCGAGTTATGGGTTTTCGTATAATATTAGATGTTGTTATAATAATAAAAAAAACTGTAGCATTTTATACACCGCCAATAAGCACTATATATTTTGTTCTAAATATAATATCGTTGATTCCAATAGCGTCATGTCTTTCGTTGTCATTGTCAATGTGCCAAGTATACTTGTTTGCCTTCATCGAGTGCCAACACTTCAGATTGGGACTGTTGTAAAAGATGACGATTTGTGTTTATTTTTTTCTCAGTTATTTCATTATGTTCATATATCTTTCCAGTAATGGCGCTACAGAGAGCGGTGTGCTATGTGGCCTTTGTAACGTGATGGAACGCTTGGAGGTCGATGGTGACGTAGACATCATGGCGGCGGCCAGACAGCTTCAGATCCGGAGACCGCAATGTTTCCCGAACAAGGTAATGCATTCAGTTATTGTTTAGAGTAAAATCAATACTATGACGTTTTGTATTTATTTAGATAAACATCCTGCCTTCAATCATTACTTCAATACATACCATCTTAACTGTAGGGATTTTTACCCATTGTCAGTACTCATTGTATTAAAAGATGTGACTTGTTTATTATCAATAAAAAACTTTGATGATGGTAAAGTGTATGTATCGGTGCGCCAAAATAATTATATTTCGATTGAATAATTTTATTCATGAATTCATTGTTGTAACGTAATTCTGTTTTATTTCTGTGGTTCTTAGTAAGTTCAAGCCAGCTGTTACAATCAAGTTCTATGAGGGTTTGCTTTTTATTTCGAACATTTTTTTTTATATCTTTGCAGGACCAGTACGTCTTTTGCTATACGTTAGTGAAGGAACATCTGGAGGCGAGCACAGTGTATGCCAATGTTTAAGGTTTAAAACAAAAGATGGAAACTTGTCAATTTGAGACAAATTCAGAAAACTCTAATGTAGTTCCAATTTGCATTCATTCTGCTTATATGTGGAATACGGGCAACGTTTGGTGAGGAAACATTGAACATAGCTCTCAAAATTGTGTTTTAAAAGTGTGCACCAAAATGTTTACCTTTTTTGTTTGGTTTATAGCATTTGGTATTTTACTTTGTCGTCTCTGATAATTTTCTCAACAAAAGAGGTTTCTGCATGTACCAAGTTTTGTCACTGATTGCAAACCATTTTGACACCTTTACAGTTCTGTTTAGTATTTTAACTTAAATTAGAATCGTAAAACAATCATTATCACAAAGCATAATAGAAACTATTTTTACACGATTATTTTAACAAAAAAACAACAACATTCATAGTTTTAAGACATTTCCTGATGAGGGATTAATTAATTTGTCGTTATGACTAGGTTTTGTGACGTCAACGTTTGTAAAATTCATATCGTTTTGAAATTATAATAACGCTATTAGATGCATAATTAAACATTGTTTATAGACGAATTTGATTACGGAAAAATTAGAATAAATATATTTGCCTTAATAGATTATTTCGATGAAAACACAAATCAATTGAATACATGTATTTGTTATATTTTCATAACAAATAATTATCAGTTTGGTAAAAGTTTCTTCACAGCAGGGAAACTATAAGAAATGTTATACGTTCATATGTGATGATATCGATTCGAGTATCGAATTTATATTGACCAATCAATATGGTGTTTTCTCTTTACCGCAGCAGATTTTCTGTTCAGCTACAAATGAAGCTATAGCAGAATATTTGACATACACACATTTTACTCTCATACACACATTTTACTCTACTTACTCCCGCAAATTGTTGTAGCAATAGCACAATATACAAATATTTTCCTATCGGTATTTTGCCATACTCGAGAAATATGTATGTTATTGTAGTGAAAACCATTTATTATCCTCTATCTATGTGTACAATTGATTTAGTATCATATATAGAAATCATTTTTGTAGTCAATACTTACATGCAGTTAAGCAAACATTAAAGGTGATATATCAAGGCGGGATATATTTCTAAGAATTATGAAAAGTTCTTTTACACAACCAATAAAATATTCTATGTGACGTTTCTATGACTAGTACGATATGTACACTGTCAACCTCATCAATCAAATGACAAGTTAAGCGTTTGCACACAAAGGTGTAACATGTGTACGAGTCGTCCACAAAATCGATGTCGAGACAGCGTATGTACAATAGTTGTTACATATGTACCGAAACGACTCGATTTAGCTACGCTTTGTTCAATAATTGGTCATACATGTAGATGTGCGAGAGTCCTCGAGCCCCTCGTCTCGATTTAGAACTGGACCACTGCAGCGTATCCAGATGGCTTCCTTTACTTGCCGCTTGAACAGATTGCTCTCTCTGTCCAAAACTTTGGAGTTATTCCAGTCAATCACATGATTTTTCGGCAGAAAATTGTATTGGTTATGCAAAAAGAACTTTTCATAATCCATACTTACTAACCTGACGAAAATGTTGAGAAATACTTCTAAGAAATAAACATTTTATGTTCTTGTCAACGAAGCTGAAACTGTTTTCGATAAGAATTTGCACACATTGCACGCGTTATGTTGTACATAATATTATTATTTTTATTAGCTGTGGTATTCTTTGACTCTGATATCAGTTATAATATTGATGCACCTGAACGGAGATTTTGCTTATTTTATACAGTGCAAAATAATAAATTATTCTCTTAATCAATACAATACATTATATACATTTGCTTTTCTAATGACTGGCTTATATAGAATGGAAATCATTATTTCATATTATATTTCGCACTTCATATCTTTGAATCGTTACAATGTATACTTATTTGGAGTATGTAGTTGTGCAAAAATATATTTACATTTAATATGTAGAGGATCTGACACGAGTGATTATGTAATATTGAATTTATTGAACGAGTTTGTTAATTGCATGTGAAATTAATAAACGGGTTTAATAAAATCAATATTACATGAACACCAGTTATAGATTCTATTTTCATATAATTCAAGAAGCACTCCTACATAAATGTTCTCAACACGCCTCCTTTATATACATTTGTAGCTATGACTGACGAATGGACGTATTCCATTCATTTTGTTTTGAGCTCACTGTGCCGCGAAATAATATATAGTATTATCTCTTATTGAATCTAAACAATATTTCTTAATATTTCCTTATCATACAAAATATATATGCTGTAATTTTCGGTTTTTATTATGTTAAATCATCAGTTATTTCAGAAACTTTACTTATACTTTGTATTTACTTTTAAAATAGGTTCCCATATTATGTTTGATTGTTTTAATGTATAAAACTTGACATCACTTTAATATTCATCATTATAATTCATACACCGTTTAAAGTTCACTGTTTACAATTCAGGTAAAAGTATTGTAAAATTGTAATTAATATATATCTGTTGGACATAGTAAAACGAAAAGATTATTTTTGGTCATTTATAAAGAATTAAATAAATCTTATATTGCCGTATTTGAACAAAACGAAAACTTTGTTGTTAGAGCATTATTTTTAATAATCGTTATTAATACTGATAAAAAATTATAAAAATGAAAAATACAAAATAACGAATGAGGTATTTTACAGAATTAGACAAAGACCAATAACGTATAAAATGTTTAGCTTTGTTTCTGTTATTCTGCTCTGGTTCTGTGATGAATCAATTTTTTTTTATCTTTCACCATGGTGCTTTCTATTTTTTTATTTCTTTTTCTTTTCTTAGATATCAGATAACTTGATGCTAGATTCAAAGGTTTCATATGTCTTTTCCAGTAATTAACCAGGAAAACCGATCTATTATTATTTAATTCATTCATTGGTTCTTTATTTCATATTCACTCATTCATTCTTTCATTCACTCACTCATATTCACTCATACATCCTTTCATTCACTCACTCATCTTTTCATACATTCTTTCATCTACTCATATTCACGCATTCATTTATCACTTATAAATATACTTATTTCGTCAATCATTTAATATCACTCAATTTATACATTCTTAAATTTTCCATGTTCACGTACATATACATAACTGTATTGAATATAATATTTGTTTATATGATAAAATATACAAACACCCACACACACACATACAAAGCATACATACGTACGTACACGTACCTACATACATGCATGCATGCATACATACGTACGTACACGTACGTATGTACATGCATGCAAACATACATACATACATGCATACATACATACATACATGCATACATACATACATACATACATAGCATACAAACATACGTATATACACACACATATATACACACACACATATATATATATGTATACTGAAACACTTACATTTACTCAGGATACATACATACATATGAAAATATTGTAAACGTATACACATTCCAGCATGCATGCATAACATAACACAAAACAATACATGAAGTCATGCAATAATGCAAACCAAAATGGACACTTCAGTATGTGTCTCTTTTGATCTCTTATTTTTTTCATTGCTAAATAGCATTCCTACAAGGGGAGTCATCAATTCAGAACATTTAAACATGTGTGAATCGAGAATGCATATAAACATACAAGCCATACATGCATACACAGCAATACATGCATACATGCATGCACACATACATACATGTATATGCATGCACAGACGTATATACACACATGCATGCATACAAACATGCATACGGGCATGCATGCATGAAAGCCGATATGCACAAATTTACACATACATTGTATACCTATGGTTTAGAATGTGCAAGTATATCCATCCGTACATACATGTACATAAACTTACACAAAGAAACATAAACATGAATACACATAGCTATATTTCATGTCATTCTTCTTTTAATGAGGGTGTTGTACATATCTCTACTTCCTTTTTTACTTCTTTATATTGCATTTATGTGAAAGGGTAAAAATAGTCTTTCAATATCTGAATTATTTGATCTTATATCATTTTATCTCATAAATGATTGAATTGATTCACAAATGCCTCTGTGTTGTAGAAAATTTCCAGGGATAACATTATACTTTTCTTTAAAATCTGTATAGTTTAAAAGACTCCCATCCCTTTGCATTATATTTCCAACATATTCTGCATTATGTAAATACCATTCATTATAGAAAAAGTAGTCATTATCAATCCTAAAGTTTCCATCATACCATATTGACGATTTTAAAAGGTCATCAACATTTTTTAACATTTGTCATTTCTGCCGATTTGGTCCATGCTTCAAAAACATTTTTCCAAAATCGATTTTCTGTATGAATACTTTTAATGTATTCAAATCCTTTTTCTCCAATGTTTTTAGGTTTACAAATTTTTCAAAACAAGTTAAGCCATTCATAATATTCAGAAAGAAGCATTCTCCTAATCCATGTAGTTTTAAGTCCATATATAAAGTTTTCTAAATCAATCATTTTGAGTCCACCCTCACTATAGTCTTGAACAATTGCTGAGCGTTTTATTCTATCAATTAGTGAATGCCATATACAATTGTAAAACATTTTTGTTCAATGATTGAATTATGTCTTTACTGGGAGTAGGGAGAGATATAAACAGATGATTCATTTTTGCAATGATAGGAGATTTAAGAACAGTTATTCTCCCTATAGGTGTTAAAATTCCTCTTGACCATTGATATAACTTGTCATCTATAATATTAATAACTTTGTTGAAATTTACAGTAACCATGTCTTCTAAATTGACCGAGAAATCAATCCCAAGTAAGGTAAATTTGGTTGTTCCCAATTTTAGTTTCCATCTGTGATGGTATATATCAGCACTAATTGTTTTGCTACCTATCCAAATAACATTTATTTTATCAGCATTTACCTTTAACCCTGATTTTTTAGCATATTTATATAACATGTTTATAGCCTCTATGAATGAAAATTTTGTGCCATTTAAAATAAAGGATGTGTCATCAGCGAACTGTAAGAGCCTGCGTTCTTTGTTATTTATGTTTATGCCCTTATAGCTTTTATTATTCTTTACCATGATAGCTTATATTTCAGCTACTAAAAGAAATAAGTAAGATGATACTGGATCCCTTGTCTACAGCCCCTTTTTATGTCTACAAAGTTGGTTAAAAAACATTCTGTATGACAGCCGAGGAAGAATTTGTATTAAATACCTGTATCCATTTCTTTATAATATTTCCAAAATTGAAAAAAAAAAAAAAATTGTAAGAAAGTCCCATGATACAGAGTCGAGAGCCTTTTCAAAATCAATAAAAAT